GAAGCCTGTAATGTGCTTTACTGTGAATGTTTTAGTGTTTCAGTAAATCCTTCAGTAAATACTTCAACTTGAAGCCTCACTCTGAACACTGGAGGAGGCTTTAGTACAGTACGCTTCACTTTACTTAGAGCGGACAAATACGACTTATGAGCGCTTATAATTTGTTATGAACAGTACTTATAATGTATTATGTTAACAATTCATAATGTATAATAAGCATGGCTATAACATGTAATGCATTTTTATAAATATTTATAGCCATGTTTATAATGCCTTATGAATGCATTATAACATGTTATGAATGTGTTTATAGATGCTTACAAAGGTGACATTCATAGAGAGTGTTACCGATCTATCTTTAAAAGACTAAAAGCAGGCAGAGAGCAGGCAGAAAGTATGCAGACAGTGACAAAGCAGGAAGCGAATCAGAAAAATAAATGCATTAAATAATAAAGCTTATGATTTTCTGAGATCTAACACCTCAGAAAGATATTTGCAAAAATAGTTATCTTTTGATGATATTATGCATTGTAGAGAGTAAAATATCTAAAATTTGACGACGTCTTCCTCTCGGCCTTCTTTAATAAGGACATGTGAAGGACGTTTTCCTGAGTCTGACATCATTTTAAAGCAGTTAAAAACACAAGCGCTGCTCACTGCTGCTCATCTCACTCTGACTGGACTCACGTCATGCTGGTTATCATGGTAACATCTACACTAAGTGGTTCTCTATGTATGCGTGTCATTTTGGATCTGATTACTTGTAGTGAGCATGTAAACAGAGATTTTCCATCAGATTGATGAGCAGAGTGAGAATAAACACCTTAGTCTTCAATTATAATCAGAATTTGTTCTATCAAATTGGCAAAAATCTCTGCATGTAAACACAGCCATTGAGTCCATCCTGTGCACATCCTTTACAGTCTGGTTCAGAGCAGCCACAAAACAGGATAGGAACAGACTGCAACGAACAGTAAAGACAGCTGAAAAAAGAAAATCATTGGTGATCCCCTGCCCACCCTCCAGGACCTCAAGAACCAGGAAACAGGCAGGAAAGATCATTACAGATTCCTCACACCCTGGACACAACCTTTTTCAGCTCCTCTCTTCCGGCAGCTGCTACAGAACCTTGAACACTAAGACTACCAGACACAGGAGCAGCTTCCTCAGGCCATCACCCTCATAAACAGCTGACCAGTGATGTTATCTGCTGGGCCATAGCTACTCCTGTTTTTCTCCAGATAGTTATTACACCCTGCTTCACATCCAGACCAACTGTGCACCAGTTTTATTCCCATACATGAGGTAGATTAATGTTGTTTGCACCACCACACACATTTACGTATATTGCTTACCCCTACATCATCTGTAGTTTGCTTGTATATGATGTATTGTCTGTAAATAATATGTACATTGTCCGTATATTACTTGTCCATATACAGTCTGCATATTGCTTGTATACTGTATATATTGTATATTGTCTGTAAATTATTTGTATGTTTGTATACTGCATTTAATACTATTGAGTCACCAATGGCTGGAACCAAATTCCTTATGTGTATCAACATACTTGGCCAATAAATCTGACTGATTCTGATAGGTGGGGTGTATGTTTCCATTAATTGCTGGCTACATTACCCTCCAGTCTAAAACTAAAGAAGAAAGTATAAATGTTTAATTCCTACCATTTGTTTTCTGGTTCCTTGGTGGGATGTGTTATTACAGATGAACACTAGATGGCAGCATGGCCATTAGTTTGTCCAGAAAGCCTCAGCTGAGGTCGGTTTCTCTGGATGTCCACTCTAACAGAATGTAAAAAGACAGCGACTATAACTTCTTTTACCAATGATCAAACAACAAAAAAGGTAACAGGACAGAATATGTTGATAATAATTGGTAACATTCATGATAAGAGCTGATAAGGTTACAACCTGAGACAGCTGAAGAAATTCAACCTGCCACAGGGTCTGATGATCCAGTTCAACACAGTAATTATCGAGGCCATCCTCACATCTATAACCATCTGGTTCGGTTTCTCATTATCATCAGGACAGCGGAGAGGATCATGGGATGTATCTGCCAACACTTCAGGACAACTACAACAGCAGACAGCAGTATTACAACTGACCTCTCTCATCCTGGACATCACCTCTTCCAGACTCTCCCCTCTGGTAGAAGATTCAGGACCATCAAAACCAGCACAGCCAGACATGCTAACAGCTTTTCCCCCAGAGCTGAAGCTCATTAACCACAGTGAACACTCACACTTTACTCTTAAACTGACCACCAAACCTCCTCATTGTATTACAGTAACTCCTCTGGAACAGAATGATTATTTACACAGCTGTACAGATGTTAAATTTCTGCAAATATTCATATCATTCTGTAATATTCTATATATAACAGTTTTTATAGTATACGTCTATTCAGACCTGCGTATGTAGAGATATTCACACATCTCTTTAGCTACTCCATAGCTTTTTATTCTTTATTCTATATATATATATATATATATATATATATATATATATATATATATATATATATATATTTCTTCTCTTTGTTAAATACTTGTTATCAGTCTGTGTTTGTCTGGTCTGTTTAGTGTGTTAATTCCATACATGTGTGACTCACCAAGACAAACAGAGTAACAAACTTGGTGAAGTAAAGTGATGCTGATTCAGTTGATCACTCTTAGTAGAATGTTCTGAACAGAACAGACATCAACACAAAAATAGAAAACATTATATATAATATGAACAGAATAGATTTAATCTCCTTGATATGTATTTTTACCTAAGCCCAGTGAAAAGTTCTTGTACATTTAGTATTTAACAAATAAAAACTTCGGAATCTAATAATGATTCTTAATTAGCAGCAACATCTCCAGAATCATGACATTGTGATGATGATGACATGATTGTCCATGTGGACAGTGTTTCTCCAGAACATCTTTGCCTCTGTTTGGATATTTCTCTCAAAAGTCTTCACCAACGTAGAGTTCAACGGTCCACATCTCAACATCTCAAGGTGTCGTGTCATCCACATCTCCTGATGTTTCTACCACAAATCTTTCTCCAGTCCTGCTTCTCTTATTACATGTAGAGGTATACAGGTTGAACAAGTATGGTGACAGTGGGGAGCCCTGTCGAACTCCTTTACAGGTCTGGGACCTGCTTGATGGTCTATTTGTCCATTTTCTGTGATGATGGTGGGTTTGATCACTGTAGAGGTTCCTCCACAAAGAGATCTTCTTGTATACCCTCTCTCTTGAAGACACTCTATAATTTTACGTGGTAGACACAGTCAAAGGCTTTGCTGTAGTCAATGAAACATGTTAACATCCTTCTTGAATTCCTTGATGTGTTCAGTTATCTACTGTACATCAGCAATAACGTCTTTTGTTCTGCCTTTCCTGAATCCAACTTGCATGTCTATCAGCTCTCATACAATGTAAAGCTATAGTTTGTGTTGAATTTTTTTCCTTTGAACAGACCAGACAAGCACAGACAATTAACAGCATTAAACTAAAGGAAAAGTAAAATAAAAACTCCATAAATAGAATAAAGAATAATAATAAACAGCAAATATAAAAGGAGCTCAGGAGATGTGTGGATACCTGTACATATGCAGATATGAATGTATTTACATTAAATATACTACAAATACTATTATATACAGAATATTAAAGAATGATAAGAACATGTAAAAATGTACTTTGTACAGTAGTGCAAATAAGCATTATGCTTATTCTCGTATGTGATGGAAGGGAAATGTATGGTCGTTTGCACACTCTGTCTGGTCTCCTTTACTAATAAGTTGTTAAACTAAGAAAACCAGCAGAATTTCTCAAGTTTAATTTTTCAATAAACAAAATAGACTTTTAGTCACACAGAGCACAAACATGCAAGCATTCAGTTTCCAGCGTCCAGCTGAGAATAGCAGAATGTTCTGTGTCAAAACATTTAAGTTCATAAATCCAGATAAAGATTTCAGTTCAGTTTAAATAAACAGCTTTTGAATTTGAAAAAATGCCATGAGGGGCCCAATAAAGCACAACATTAACAAGACTGTTCTCACCCAGCTTCATGACTTAATTCCAAATTCCAAGATTAATCCAAGTGTTCCAAGGTCTTAGAGTAGAGAGAAAAGTGGAAAAACTGAGAGGATTATATTCCTTTTCGGTTTCCAATCAGATTCCAAACAAACTTTCTGCCATTGTTTGTTCTCCCCAAGATGGCTGGAACCTCCTTTTCCTGTCCAAGACAGGAACTACATTCAGTTTAAGAGTCCCATTTCCTGTTTGAACATGAACTAACTTAACAACAAAATATGAAAATAAATAAATGAAAACCAGATGTGAGAGCAGCTCCAGTCATCCTTTACCAGTAAATTTGCTACAGGTTTGCTTATGCACTTCATGTTTTTCTGTTTCTTTAGAATCAAAAAATGAAAATATTTGGTAAAGTTATTTTTAGAAAACAAGACTTTACATTCAATAATAAATTCATCAATTTAAATAATAGTAAAATATCTGTATATCACTGTTGTTGGACAAAATCTCGTATCTCCAAAATGGTAACTTTACAGGAGAAGGAAAAAACATGGAGACAGAATTTTTTCAGAGTCATTTTGGGCTGTTTTGGTACAGGGTTTTCTTCTAGCATCTACTAAGAAACATAAATCTGGTATGGATTGAAAGGTTAGAATTTGCACTTTCCACACAATTTCTCCACTTGTTTCAATGAGCTATTAGTCAGAAATAATTCATATAAAATTACTTGCTTTTTATTGGTGGCATTAACTGTAACCTCTATGGGTTAATATCTTTATATGGAAAATTGCACTTTGCATCAAAAACAGGACTAAAGAGATTTCACATCAGAAAGCAACTGCATTAAAGTGTGCAAAATTCATAAAACAATGAAAATGTATTACAGACCCCACCTCAATTCTCGATGAGCAGCTTGTAGTAAAAGAGGTTTATATTGAGTTCTTACCTGTTTCTCAGCTCGTTCTGCTGCAACTGATACTGTATCGTGTCCTTTGTGGTCATCCTTGATACACAGCATGCAGATACACTGCTGGTCAGTGCGACAGTAAACCTCCAGCAGTTTCTCATGTTCAGAGCAGATCTGCTCCTGGAGGCGTCTGGAGGCTTTGACCAGTTTGTGCTTCTTAAAGGCAGGAGACTGATAATGAGGCTGGAGGTGAGTTTCACAGTAAGAGGCCAGACACACCAGGCAGGATTTGAGGGCTTTGAGTTTTCTCCCAGTGCAGAAATCACACTCCACATCTCCAGGTCCAGCAGGAGAAGCAGTGTGGAGCTCCGTCTTCTTCAGTTTCTCCACCACTTCAGCCAGCATGGTGTTTTTACCCACAACAGGCCTCTGAGTGAAGGAGCGTCTGCACTGAGGGCAGCTATAAACCCCCTTCAGATCCTCCTGATCCCAGCAGCTATTAATGCACACCTTACAGAAACTGTGTCCAGACAAACTGGACAGCTGAATTGATCCACTGAGAGACCGCCCTCTGCCATTTTACAGAAATTCTACAACAACAAAACCAACTAAAGTCCAAACAGCAGCTCAAACAGAGTGAACCTCCTGCTTCTTGGTTCAACAACAACACGTTCCATAGAAGTTGGGATGGGTCATGTTTACCTCTGTGTTTCATCACCTCTTCATTTAACACTCTGTAAGTGTTTGGGAACTGAGGAGACACTGATGTAGTTTGGAAAGTGAAATGTTTTCCTGTTCTTCTTTGATACAGGATTTCAGCTGCTCAACAGTTCAGGTCTCCTTGGTCATATTTTATAATGCAGCAAATGTTATCAGTGGTGACAGGTCTGGACTGCAGGCAGGTCAGTTTAGCACTCGGACTTTTTAATATGGAGCGATGCTGTTGTAATACATGCAGAGTGTGGTTTGACATTGTCTTGCTGAAATAATCAAGGCCTTCGCTGAAATAGACGTCGTCTGGATGGCAGCATATGTTGCCAAAACATGTATATATTGTTCAGCATTAATGGTGCCTTCACAGATGTGCACGTCACCCATACCATGTGCACTAATGCCCCCTATACCATCATGAATACTGGCTTTTGAACTGTGCACTGATAACAAGCTGAGTGGTCTTTAGCCCAGAGGACACAGTGTCCATGATTTCCAAAAAGAATTTCAAATGTTGATTCGTCAGACCACAGGACACTTTTCCCCTCAGTTCATTTTAAATGAGCTCTGGCCCAGAAAAGGTGGCAGCATTTCTGGGTCCTGTTTATATATGGTTTCTTTGCGTTTTAGAGTTTTAACTTGCATTTATGGATGCAGTGATGAACTGTTTTCACAGACAGTGTTTCTGAGCCCATGCAGTGATTTCCACCACAGAATCATGTCTGTTTTTAATACAGTGCTGCCTGAGGGCCCAAAGATCACGGCCAGCAAATACTGGTTTTTGGCCTTGTTCCTTTATGTACAGAGATTTCTCAAGATTCTCTGAATCTCTTGAATTCTTCTCAATGCTCTTTTATACCCAATCATGTTATTGACCTGTTGCCAATCAACCACCAGGTGTTTTTTAGCATTACACAATTTTACCAGCCTTTTGTTGCTCCCATCCCAACCTTTTTGGAATGTGTTGTTGGCATCAAATTTAAAATTGGCAAATATTTTTCAAAAAACAATAAAATTGATCAGTTTCAACATTTAATATGTTGTCTTTGTACTATTTTCAATGAAATATAAGGTTTAAGTGATTTGCACATCATTGTATTTTGTTTTTACTGACATTTTGCACAGCATCCCAACTTTCTTTGGAAATGGGGTTGTATGTGTTTAGATAACTGTGCTCTGAAAAGTTCTGTGGTTCAAATTCTTTCTCTGTCAGTGTTTCCATCTGCATGTCCAAATACTTCACGTTCACATACTCCATGTTCTCCACACTGTTTTCGGAAGTATTTGGTGGTTGTTGTAATAAAACGTTGTATGTCTGAAATGGTGACCTTATAAGAGAAAGAGAAAACCTAAACATTACATATCAATTAACTATGTTAGTGTAAGAGTTTTATAATAAGAGGTTATGGATCATTTCTGTTAGTCCATTCATCATGAAATGTTTCCACAATGTAAAGAGCAGCTGGAGTTTTCAAGTAGTGACATAACCTTCTCATGTCACGCCATACAGGAGTCCTCTTAAGTCCTGCTGGAGCTGGATTAAATTTACCAGAGGAGGTCAGTAATGTAATTTCTCAGGATTTTACTAGACAATACATATGGGATAAAGAATCTGTGTAATTTACCCAAATTACCAAAGATAACCTGGATCTAAACATCAGATCCTGAACGTTTACTTCAGTTTTAAGATTAAAGTGGTCCAAGCAACCAAACAAATGACCAAAAACAATTTCCAGTTAATGCCAGACAGAATAGGATTAGGCTAGTAAAGTGGATTAATTTAACAACGCCCAGTCTCATTTCATTTTTCATTCTCCTTCTACTTAGACCATCACCAAAGATGTTGACTACAGGTTTCCTGTTCTGAAATTGAGAATAAAGGAACTGTGCAAATTTAATTTTCTATTTTAGTACTTAATCTATTTTAGCACTTAGTTTCATCTCCTGCTCACCATAAAACAGAAAAAATAGAGGTGTCTTTGTCTATTAGTAGGATTTGTTCGTATATTTCCAATATATAGCCTATCTAATGATAAATGTTCAGATTTGTAAGAATTGGTCCAAAAGATTGTTACCATAATACATACATACATACATACATACATCATCTAAACTGCTTATCCTTCTGGGTTGCGGTGGGGTGCTGGAGCCTATCCCAGCTGTCATTGGGCGGAAGGCAGGATACACCCTGGACAGGTCGCCAGTCCATCGCAGGGCAGACAGACAGCCATACACATTCACACACACTCACACCTAGGGGCAATTTAGCAAGTCCAATACTAATAATAACAATTTTTAAACTCCATTAAATATTAATTCATTATTGCCATACTTCAAACAAGACATGGCATCTTTTCATTTGTTTTTACTGACTGTAATAATTGCTAATGATGATAAGAAAAAAATGAATGGAAAGAAGAATCATTACAGCAGTGGTGGAGAACTGAGGGCCAGAGTCAGGCAGAGTGTGGTGATTTCTCTGCTCTAACACACCTACTAAACTTGACAACTGATGAGTTGAGTCAGGTATGAAAATCACCAAACTGTGCAGGAATCCAGCTGTCCAAGACCGGAGTTCTCCACTCCTGCACTACAGAATATAGTCAGAATGACCAAGATAAACAGATGGCCTCTAGATGTCACTAGAAAGACGGGTGTAAAATGTCTCAAAACCTCGATCAATTTTTCAACAAAACTGCTTTGAATGCTTCAGTGTTTCACAAAGCCTGATTTTACCCATCACTACCTCTAACATTTTGAATGATTCTCTCTCAGCAGCCCTACTCAAGTGTTTTTCACCAAATTACAAAATCAGACTCGAGACTGGCATGTGGCAAGGAAAGCTTGAGACTCGAGACTCAGCAGAGGCCAAACTAAGGGCTGCCTTTATGTAGAGGCAGACACAGGTGTGACTGGGTGCCATTAATTATTATGAGGCAGCTCTCTACCTCCCCCTGGTGGAAGCAGTGGGTCTGGTCAGTGATTGGGTGACAGTACTCCTGGTCCTGCCTGTGGCAGACTGAGGCTGACCCCTAACGCGCAGACTTCCAAATGATCCACATATCCAAAAGGAGCGGCTAATTATTGTTCCCCACAGCCCTGAGGCTTTCAGCCCAACTTAACTCTAAATATTAGCGAATCAAAACAGAGGACAGTTAAATACATCACTCTAAAGGCACAATAATCAAAGCAGCTTGTTTCTTTCTAAGGCATAAAGACAAACTGGGAAATAAACAGAAATTAATTAAGACTATTCATATTCTTAAAACAACAAAACATTAAGTGGAGTTAAAGAAACCAAGAAAATGATGAACATCCAGATGAGGCCAAGATCATTTCCATTGTAGTGATAATTTGATTTGGTGCAGAGTAATCAGATCTATATTTATCAATACAATCTACTGATCTGAGCTACACAGTTTATATTTAGATCCTGAACAAACAGTAAACCCAGGGTAGAGGCTGTGAGTGAATGTGGTGTGGACACTATAGAGGAGGGTCATTGTATCAGAGATGCTGTAGAAGGACAGAGTTCCTGCACTGTAATCCACATACACTCCTATTCTACAGGAGCTGGGCACTGCAGGGAGGACAGTCTCTTTATTACTGTGTCTGAATGAGAATCTGGAGGGAGAACAGAATAAACTCCATGATAAACGCACTCCTCTCTTTCTGCTGATGTTTTTATATGACACTGCACTATAAACCCCCCCCCCACTCCCACTTCACTCAACCTCCCAGTAACAGTGTCCACTCACACTCTCTCTGCACAGAACCTGACAATAATCAAATCTCTCTGGATGGTGAGGATACAGCTGGACTGTTTCACTGCAGGTCACCACTCTGTTCCCCTCAGACAAACGGAAGTGTTTATTCACGGTGTTTGGATCCAGAGTGAGTTCACAGGAATCTGAGGCAGATAAACACAACATTCACTTTAGTTCAGTTAGACTAAGTTCAATTAAATTCATTGAGGATTTTTTTTTTATCCCAGGCCTTCAGTTCCCGTCATTGTCAGAAGAAGCTCCCTAAGATCATGAGGAAAAACAGTGAGAGGAACCAAGACTCAAAAGGAGAAACTCCCTAAGAACATGAGGAAGAACCACTGAGAGGAACCAAGACTCAAAAGGAGAAACTCCCTAAGAACATGAGGAAGAACCACTGAGAGGAACCAAGACTCAAAAGGAGAAACTCCCTAAGAACATGAGTGTTTGATTTTTTTTTATTTCAAACAGAAGATACATGGATTACACTTGACATTTCTCATGCATTTTCATGTCTCTTCTCAAAACAACCTACCAATGAAATTTAAACACTCTTAAAATTTCCTACTGCTGCTCACTGATTATGATCACTGTGGACTGGCGATGGCAGTTTACTTGAAAGTGAAGGAGAGTAGAGAAAAAACCTACAATATTGTTTTTTACTTAAAAGGCATTTGCACAATTTTTTTAAAATTTGTTTTTTAAAAAACATTTCACACCAAACCACTCTGAATGACTGTTTATGTCTCAACCACTGAATTATTAAGAGATTTGAGTGGAAAAAATAATATCAATCCACCTATCAACGTTCTGATTTTCCAGATTACAGACTCTGTTCACCTGTTCTCTGTATCATATGATCTAGTTAGTTAGCCATAGTTATTTGTGAGGTATTACTTCTTTCTATAGCTACTAAGTGTTATTTCTCATGTGTTTGTTTTCCATTCCGGTTCTGACCTGTAATCTCTGTTTTTTGACTCTTTTTTTGTTTTTTGTCTTCTGGTTGCTCCCTTCTGGATTTGGTTGCCTGACTCTGGTTGTCATGTTTGCCTATTTTTGTATTTTATTTTATGCTGGATTTGACCATTGCCTGTTCTTTGACAACGGCTTTGGCTAACGAATGGACTAGTAAATCTTCTTTTGCTCGTTCTATCTGCGAGCGTCTGACTGTTTCTGTCCCATTACAGGCATACGGTAAGCATATAAAATAGAAAACAATATATTTACTTGTAATACTAAGAAATACTGTTGAAGAAACATGGTGGACTTTTATTTTAACAAAAATGTAAAAGATGGCAGCCCAGAAACATATGACACTAAATCTAGTGAGTTAACCAGAAAGACTTCAACAGCTAGCCAATGATTTTTTTCTCAGGTTTAATTGGTAATGTGGTGTTTCACACTGTTCAATCCACGTCCTACATCTCTCTTATTGTGTGCTCAGTTTAGGAAATGGGTAAAGGTTCACTGCCCTCTCAAAACTCTTGAGAAATTGGGTTTCTGATTTATTCCTCACACATTATGTAATGTTTTGAAAGCATACCTGTGCTTGTGTAGTTGCTAAGCTACGATTGGTCAATCGTTGTTTAGTGACAAGTTTTAGTGAAGGGTTAGTGTAAGTCAGGGGTATCCTGACCAATGACTGACACAGTGCTTAGTCACTCAGAGAGCTTGTTAAAATGATGGTTAGTTCTGCTGCCCTTGCTCAAGTGGTCATACCCAGCAAATGTGATAATCATATCAATGCCTGTGTGTGTAGTGTGTGAATTATTACTACTAGCAGATTGAGACTGCGATGCATCATGTAGCAGCAAACTTGTACAGACATTCAGAATGTGTCTGAAGAAAGTGGCAACTTTCTTTTATGATTTTATGAAATCCCCCATTATTAGTTTATGATCTTTATACTATAGTTAATTACTGTTAAACTGTTATATGTCTTTTCTCAGATAAACAGCCACAGTAGCAACAAAATTACTAAATTACTACAGTAAATTTACTGTAACTAATTGGCATGTAGCACATAACTACTGTAATTAATATTTACAACTCTCATATTGTAATGCGTGTTTACAGTAATGACATATTGCACTGTACTATTAAATGTAGTACAAATCTTTATTATACAGGAGAAATATTTACAGCAGTATATTAATCAACAATATCCTCTTTTTGAATAGTATGTATGTGAAAGAGTTAAAACTGAAGTTTTTAAACTGCAGGTAAACTGTATCTTAAAAGTGTAAAGAGCCACAAATCCTAATTAATGAATTTTAACAAAAAAATGTTTCATATTAGTTTGACAGAAACTACAAATATCTATAGTTTTAAAAGCTAACAGGCTAACAGGCTTTCTAAAAACATTAGCTTTGATGTGAAGTATGTACTAAAGAATTTACTGACAAACTGCAACAAAAATGTTACATGTAGCTCCAAAAGTCAGTGTTTAAGCTGAGGCTGTACAGTATTAAACTCAACATGGGAAAGTAAATATATACCAGTGTTAGCTCAGCGTTAACATTACGATAGAAATCCCATAGAGACTCAATCCCACAGGTAGCTGAAATCAGATATCTAATCATATTACTGCTACAGAAAAGTACGTTGGGTTGGCTGGTTTTAGAGTCAAGCCAATGATATGGTATGTTTTGATGTAGTAATACAATATTGTTACTGTAATATTATAGTAGCCATACAATAACATGTTTGATACAGTACAATCTGTTTGTACTGTAAATATTTTCCCAGAATTTAATACAGGATGCTGTATAACAAGTACCATACTAGATTGAACACATTACCATATTGTAGAAACTACAGAAATTATTTACAGTGCGGTGGAGAGCATTTAATCATCTACTGATTTGAACTGCACAGTTTAACTGATGATTCCAGAAAAACTGTAAACCCAGGGTAGATGCTGTGAGTGAATGTGGTGTGGACTCTATGGATGAGGGTCATTTTAGCAGAGACGCTGTAGAAGGACAGAGTTCCTGCACTGTGATCCACATACACTCCTATTCTACAGGAGCTGGGCACTGCAGGGATTTCAGTCTTTTCATTGTTGTGCATGAATGAGTAACCAGAGGGAGAACAGTGTAATCTCCAAGACCGTTCATTAAGTCCAAATGCACACTCAATACTGTTTCCCTTTCTTCTAATGTTTTTATATGACACTGCTATACAACCCCCCCCACTCCCACTCCACTTAACCTCCCAGTAACAGCGTCCACTCACACTCTCTCTACACAGAACCTGAGAATGACTTTCAAATCTATCTGGATGGTCAGGATACGGCTGGTCTATGGTACTCCAGGTCACCACTCTGTTCCTTTCAGAGAGACGGAGGTATTGGTTCGCTGTGTTTGGATCCAGTGTGAGCTCACAGGCATCTGAGGAAGGTAAAACACAACACTCAGTTCAGTTCAGTTTAGCCTACCTCTAGAGAGACTTAAGAGAATGACGAAGAACCAGTGCAAGCAGGCATGTACATAGATAGACTTTGGGCAGAGATGGGGCAAGGTGGGTTGAGCCCCTTTGTTGTTTTTTAGGACCTTTCTGAAGAACAAATTCAAAAAGTTAAGCAGTTAATAAAACTCAGCACAGAAAAAATCTAAACGAGCAGAAGATCTCACAAAAGGCAAATAACCAGTATTTTAAACTGTGTTATCTATTATACTGAAGAGCCAGTGTGTTAACACAGCTAGCCCATTAGCTATGGTAACTTATGTTAGCTTCACGTAATGAGTTACAAATCCAGCATGTCAGGACATGTTAGATAGGAGAACTGCCTAAATTTAACCACAGGAATGATTTCTGGAGCACCACAGACATAATACGCTATCTATAATATTAGATAGGAGCCAAATGCTGCCTTACACAGCTGCCTCCCAAACGGACCCCATCTTTTTTTTTTCTGAAACATAATTAAACCATATCTTTCGATGAGATTACAATATATAATAAATTAAATTGATATATAATAAATTGCATTAACTTAATAAATTGAACCAAGACCCAAAAGGAAAAATCTCCCTGAGAGCATGAGGAAGAACCACTACTCAAAAACTACACTCAAAAGGAAAAACTCTGCTGTAGTATGTGACACAGGTCTGTGGTTCAGGTTCTCCACCTTCATCCTGAGTTTTTAGTGGATTAGTACAGTTAAGAGGTGGATACTGAGAAAGGATGAAGAAGGTCAATTAAATTGTTGATGTAGTTAAATTTCAATAAAGCATGATGACGTAAGTCAGTTCATAATAAGATAAGAAAATAACTGAGTAGCTGATGTGTGTGAATCAGACTTACAGTGTAGAAACTCCTCTCTGGTTTGGGGTTCAGGAAGGCAAATGATCTGGATTTCTTTCACTGTTAAAACAGTTGAACATGGTTACATTTTCTTTCTATTTTTTCATTTATAAGACATTATATGGTATACATAATATCTTATAATGTGTGATATAAGCTTGCGTAAATGCTTATAAGTAGTTATAGTGACATGCATAATATGTTATAAAACAAGACTGTCACACCAGCTCTGGTGAGGATAGTGTAGACTATCACAAGCCTGTAGGTGTCCAAGGAATATGGGCCGACCAAAAATAGCACATTCAGTGCACGAGTGTTTACTGGTGCAGTGAAAAGGTGCAAAAAGTGTGCAAATGCAAAACTTTTACAAAATGGAAAAATAAATGAAAAAATAAAACTACAATTTTTAGAAGATTTAGTCTAAAATCCTACTCTTTACCAAAACAATATTCTCACTGGGTTGTCCACAATCACCCTCTTGCCCCCCTTGAGGAATACGAGACCAACCACCTTTTGTAGCCTTCCCCTAATGGTCAAGATGCATAAACCACTCAAGAGAAAAAGAGGGGAAGACAAACATCACAACCACAGCCCTTTAACATATATCTTCCATATATAAACAACAAATAAAAGGCATAAATCAGGTCACACACAGTAAACCACAGAAACATTAATTGTCAAAGAAAAGAAAAGAACAGAAAACAAAAATGGTAACATATTTAAACCCTTCAGATTCTTTCTGTCAGAGCTGAAATGTTGACCCCCCACGTAAGTATAAACATTAGCATGTGTAAATGTAGTAGAAGTATCTGTCTTCTGACAAGCAACCTTGTTGTATAACAAGATTAAACTGATACTGGGCTAAATATCCAAGCTAGTATGTAACTGAAACTAGGAGGTTGTTTAGGAGTAAGGGTTGCTAAAATAGAGATAGAATGTGTGTGTAGTGTGTGAGACAACAACCAGAGAAATAAGACTACATATTAGTCTGACAAACCTGTCCTGTCACATCACCCACCACCTCTCCTGAATTGCCAAAGTGGGGCAATTGTGAACGAATGTCCACCAGGACATTCTGAGTTCCTTTCCTGTGACAGAGATGGAAGATATATGGCTTCAGTCCAAGGTAATACTTTGTGATCTGCGAGTTATGGTCCCTCATAATATTCCTCCATGTTAGTGCTTTGTGCTCCATTTCTAATATGAATTCTCTGCCTAACAGGTTGTATCAGAGACTCTGCAAGGCCCACTTAATGGCAAGAGCTTCCTTCTCCACTATAGAATGCCTTGCTTCCTGTGGCAGCAACTTATGGCTAAGGTACAATACAAGATGCTTTTCACCCTCTGGACCTTGGATTAGAGCAGCTCTGATTCCAACAGCTGAAGCATCCACCTGCACAACAAATGCTTTGTTAAAATCTGGACTAACCAGTACCGGCTCTGAGCATAGTGCATCCTTGCAGGCCTGGAATGCCCGCTCACAGTCTTTTGTCCAGTGGACTGGATTCTTCGCCGACTTTAGAGTCAGCTTGGTTAGTGGAGCTACGATGGTGGCGAACTGAGGGATAAAGCAATGATACCATTTGACTAAACACAGGAAGGAACAAGCTTGGTTTTTTTGTGTGAGGCCGCGCTTCCTGATGGCCTCCACTTTGTCGAGCTGTGGTTGGACCAACCCTCTTCCTAATCAATAGCCTAGGTATCATGTAAAGTCAAATGGTGAAAAGTTGCCAGTGGGCCAAGAAGTCCAAACGGCATGACAGTGAACTGTAAGTAGTACCTACCACTAACCTTTACAATGGTCAAGGGTTGTGATGTACTGTGCATGCCCTAGCCTCTCCAAAAGTTCATCAACCCTTGGCACTGGGTATGCATCAAACTTGGACACTGTGTTGATCTTTCTAAAAATCAATGCACTCTCAGTGACCCATCTGGTTTTGGAACATTGACAATCGAGCTGTACTATTTACTTCCTTAAGGTTCTATGACACCCTAATCCAGCATTCTACGGATCTCTGCCTTAATGGGTTCCACCAATCTCTCCGGCACCCTGTAAGGCCTCTGCCAGATTGGTGTTCATCCTTAAGATGAATGACATGCTGGACCATGGTTGTCCATCCAGGCCTGGACTGGGACACCATTTGAAAACAGTGACCAAAGACTTCTGTCGCTGCAGAGTGAGGTGGTCCAACTCTAGACAAGGGAAAGGACTCCATGAAAGCTGCAATTTATAGATTACATCTCCACCTTTTCCTTCCACATGCTGGATCATCATTGCCATCTGTGGATCCTGTTGCTCCTTCCATTGCAGGATGAGGTTCAGATGATAAATATGTGATGCCTTATCTTTTTTTGGGATGGAGGACCTCATACATGACAGGACTGTGCTTCCTCAAAACTTCCATTTAGCCAGGAGTTTGTTTGTGGATGTCGGAAGTAGTAGGAGAACTCTCTGACCTGGCTTGTGCACAAGTGCTGCAATGATTTTGGTGGTGGTGATGGACGGTAAGGGAATTGCTTCAGAGAACCTGGTGGCATAATCACATATAACAAGATTGTACCTGAACCCAGAGCTATTCTGCTCCAGCGAACCTACAATATCCATGGCAATATGCCTAAATGAAGGTGATACAACAGGCATATTCTAAAGAGGTGCTCTGTCTGAGTGGCGAATATGACTGGTATTCTGGCATTCCGAATAAGCACTACAATATTTCTTGACATCTACATACATTGAAGGCCAGTAAAACCAATAGCCCATCCATCCGATAAGTCGCTGCTCTGGATGGACGACCTGTTGGCGTGTATACCATCACATTTGTCACCAAACCAGTTCAGCTGGGGGCCAGCTGTCATTTCTAGTTATTGATCCCTCCAAATTTTGTTATATTAGGACTGCCTTGACAGAAAAAACAAGCCTCAAATCTCTTGACTTGACCGAGAGATCATAGCATTGTCAGAATTTTTTTCAGTTCTTAATGTCAGATCCACTTCTGTAGAAAGCTCAGAACCCATACAAAACACAGAAATCCCCTGACTTCTCTGAATTTTCCTATTTGCTTTTCCTATTAGAAAGCTATGGGGAGTACATTGATGAAGCCCTAGCTCAAGGCTTTATTCGCCTTTTGTTGGGCAAGGTGTTTCACTAAGTTAGATCTCTGTAGTGCCTACAATATAGTCCTGATCAAGGAAGGGGGCAAATGGAAGACAGCTTTCATCACCACTAGGGGGCAATATGGGTACCAGGTGATGCCAGAAGCAGAACGTCCATGGTCTCAAATTGCTGTTGATTTTGTTACAGATTTGCATCCAACTGATGGTTTTATCATGATTATGAATATTGTTAACCGTTTTCAAGGTTTATTCCTTTTAAGTCCCTGCCCAGTGCTTTTGACACTGCCTTAGCCTTGTACACAAAAATTTTCTTATAACCTTAGAATACCTGAAGATATTGTTTCTGATAGAGGCTGTCAATTTACTTCTAGAGTTTGGCCTGGATTTTGTGAACATGTTGATATTAACGTCAGTCCCACCACTGGGATAATGTGAGCATGTGAATCAGGAATTAGGAACATTTCTTTAAGTGTTTTGTCAAAACAGCCCTGCTGATTGGTCTCAGTTTTTGATTTGGGCTGAAATTGCACAGGACTCCCTGGTTTGTTCATCTTCTCAAATGACCCTGTTTGAGTGTATTATAGGTTATCAGCCCCAACTTGCACCCTGGACTGTTACTCCATCTGACATCCCAGCCATCGACAATTGGATGAGGAGCAGCAAGGAGGTCTGGGAACAGACACACTGCAGCATTAAGGTGGTGGCCAGCATGCCAAGGAACAAGCAGACCAGCGTTGCTTGTTCAGCCAGGAGACTGGGTTTGGTTGTCCACCTCAGGTTTGGGGAGAGAAGTCGTAAGTTACAACCCAAGTAAATTGGCCCATTCCAGATTTCCATGCCAGAGGACGTCCTTAAAAATCTCCAGTTCCTGTCCAGTCAGATCCAGTGTCCATTCCAGGAACCCTTCTCCTGTCCAGCACCAGGACAGCTCTGGGATTTGTCTGCCAGTGCCTTTGATTGGGTAGGCGGTGGTCGTCGACTAGATCCACCTATCACCATTCAGCCTGTCTGGACATCTAATCATGTTCATGTGTTCCAATATGTTTTTGACCTGTCTGTTAGCCTGGTCAATTTTCACATTTTGTATATTTTTTTAGGTAATATTAACAAGAAAATGTTAACAACCCCTCACACAACCAACTTAAATGTCACATCTCTGCACACTTTAATGCAAAATTATTTGATAAATAAAATACATTGGGAGGAAAATGTGCAGAAATATAAAATTAAAATAAAATGTGGCATGCGCGTAAGTTTGGACATCCTTTAAGTCAGTACCATATGCTGAAATCACAGCCTACAAGATCGATCTACAGATTGTCAATAGTATTCAAGCCTAAAGATGGTGAAAGCTTGCACAGTCTTGAGCTGCTTCAGCTTCTTTAAACAATTTAAACTTTATGTATGTATATCTGTAAGCTAATTAATTGCAGTAATTTACCACAAAGTGATGAGTTTCTGATCTCGTCTTCACAGAGATTTACCACTTTGTTCCTCAGCTGAGACACAGACTTTATGACCTTCTCAAAAGAGTGGACAGGACGGGCAGTGATGGAGGGTAAGACTGCAGATACAGGAGGAGCCGAGAGAGACTGGAAACTCTACACAGAGACACAGAGAGAGATAAACACAGAGCAGAGAGATCATAGAATCAGTAAAACCCTACAGTCTGTATGAAATCACACCTACATGTTCTTAAACCAACAGATCATCAAACTCTTTCTGTCCTGAATTAAAGGCGTTTGGTGCTGAAATTAACACTGCTGTTACCTGGAGGAAATGGATGTGGTCCTCAGTGAGTGAGAGCTGCTCCAGCTCAGTGTTTCTCCTCCTCAGCTCAGCAATCTCCTGCTCCAGTCTCTCCAGGACTCCTTCAGCTCCTCTCACTGCAGCCTCCTCCTGAGCTCTGATCAGCTCTGATAGCTCAGAGCGTTTTCTCTCAATGTAGCAGATCAGCTCAGTAAAGATCCTCTCAGTGTCCTTCAGTGCTGCCTGAGCAGAGCTCTGATACAGCACAGAGAGAGACAGTCATTAATACCATCAACATGAACATATTTCTACAATATTATTTTCTATTTTATTTGAAAAAAAAAACATGAACTTGAAAGAATATTATTTGTAGACATAAAAATTTAAATCTAAAAACCAGTAATTATTATTATTTTTTTTTTTTTTACTGAGCAAATATTAATCCAAATAATGGTGATTTTTTCAGGCTGTGATGAAAAGGATAAAAGAATCAGTCAATGGCTCCTCACTGGCTGACTGGAGGAGAATCCTGACTGATCCTGAATCAGATCTTCTGGAAATCAGCTCTTCTGGAAATCAGCTCTTCTGGAAATCAGCTCTTCTCAAAATCAACCTTCTAGAAATCAGCTTTTGTTCTTCTGCTCTGCTCCAAACTCACCTTGTGATACTCCACCGTGTTTTTCAGCTCCTGAAGCTTCTTCTCTCTCTCCTGAATTTTCTGCTGGTATTCCCTCTGAGTCTCCACCAACTGCTTCTGCCAAAAAGTGAACAAATACATAATTATGTAGTTCTGTTTTTTTTATGTAAAATATTTGCATGTACTTACTATTTCAATTTCTTATCAGCCTTCAATTCTGCAATTTTTCTGTAGCATGTGCAAAATAATATGATATAATAATAAGCTGCTAATTGCTACACTATGTAAATGTTATTCAATAAATACATCGTTACACAAGTACCAAAGCTTTAAACAATTGTGAATTGCCTGGTCAATTTTCACATTTTGTATATTTTTTTAGGTTATATTAACAAGAAAATGTTAACAAACCCTCACACAACCAACTTAAATGTCACATCTCTGCACACGTTAATGCACAATTATTTTGGACATCCTTTAAGTCAGGACATCCTTTAAGTCAGTACCGTTTGCTGAAATCACAGCCTACAAGATCGATCTGCAGATTGTCAATAGTATTCAAGCCTAAAGACGGTGAAAGCCTTTCCAAATCCTTAATCTTTCCTTTCTTGAAGTAGTTCATACGGAGCCCTGCTGGTGACATCCCGTATGAATAAAAATAATGTGTGGCCATGACTTAGTAAGGCATGGGAATGAGATCACAGCTTATTAATTTGTGGCCACGCATTAGGATCTCATTCCCATGCTTTACTAAGTCGTGGCCACGCATTATTTTTATTTATAAAGGATGTCACCGGCAGGGTTCCGTAAATTCAAGTTGATTTTAATGTATGTTTTGGATCATTGTCTTATTGTAAAATCCATCCTTGTTCATTCTTCCATTTCTTCACTGACTGTGGGGCTTCAGCTTCTAGGATTTATTAATATTTTGTACAAAATAATTCTTCTGTCCAGTCAATATCTCCTGGGCCACAGGGACAGTTGGCAAAAGTTTATTTTTTTATTTTTTTTTATTTTTTTTTTTTCATCAAATGCAGCTCCTTTTTTTCTCCAAACATACTTTTGGTGATTGTGGCCAAATAATTTAATATTCATTTCATCAGTCCACAGCACTTGTTTCCAGAATGCCTCTGCTTGATTTAGATGCTGTTTGCATATGTGTGCAATGTGTGCAGCAATGCAAAAAGGGCCAGTGGATCACTCTGCCTGTGGCAGCCAAATCTTCCTGCAGGTCATTGGTAGTGATGTGGGGGTTTTACTTTGCATATGTGACCAGATCACTAGCAGCTTTTTCAGAGTCTACTGCCTTTCCAATTTTGTCTTGACTGCAATAGTTCTCCTTAACTGTCCTTTCTTAATGACATTTCAGACAGTGAAAATAAAAGCAGGAAGAGTCTTTGTAAGAGTCAGTTATCCTTAGTTTCAGATCTTCAGTCAGCTGCTTTAAGAGCCAGTGCTTGTTTAGGTCTAAGCACACCACCTTGAGCATATTTATTATGCTTTGGACTTGGATTAAGGCCAAATGAGTCAAATAAGCTCTAAGACCTAAAAAAGAAATAAAACTAGTGGATCAACTGAAAAAAAATGATGAACATCTCCAAATTGATGCCCGTTGGTATTTTATTTTTTTTCCAATATGTTAAACAAATAAATAATAATTGTTTAATCAAAGTTGTAGAAATGTGTAATATTTAAGTTCCATAAAGAGGTTGTGTTAACTTGTAATGTTTCATTTGACCGTTGTGTTCAAACTTTCACATAAAATTGTAATTACATTATGATCAGCATCAACAGGTATAATTCTGTACAAACAAAAATTCGGTAACACTTTCTATGAATGTCACCTTTGTAAGCATCTATAAACACATTCATAACATGTTATAATGCATTCATAAGGCATTATAAACATGGCTATACATATTTATAAAAATGCATTTCACGTTATAGCCATGCTTATTATGCATTATGAATTGTTAACATAATACATTATAAGTACTGTTCATAACAAATTATAAGAGCTCATAAATCGTATTTGTCCGCTCTAAGTAAAGTGAAGCGTACTGTACTAAAGCCTCCTCCAGTGTTCAGAGTGAGGCTTCAAGTTGAAGTATTTACTGAAGGATTTACTGAAACACTAAAACATTCACAGTAAAGCACATTACAGGCTTCAAATGTCAGAGTTTAAACTAGAGCTGCCATCAGTGTTTTACCCAATGTGGGAAAGGTAATGTACACCACCGTTAGCTTGGTATTTGTCTTTACTTTACGCTCTCCAAGCTGGGACTGACTTCTTTGGCACTGACAGTATAACATGTTATCAACACTACTCATAATGCATTATATTAACAATTCATAATGTATAATAAACATGGCTATAAAGTGTAATTCATTTTTATAAATGTTTATAATCATGTTTATAATGCCGTATGAAAGCATTATAACATGTTATAAATGTGTTTATAGATGCTTACGAACGTGACATTCATAGAAAGTGTTACCAAAAATTCTGTAGAAACAAAAATGTAGAAATTTTTTTTTGTTTGTTTTTTTTTTAGGAAAACAAGACCGTACATACAAAAATAACTTAGTTATATCATTCCAAAATATTTCGAATCCGCACTTTCCTCACAATTTTATCATCAGAAATAACTGCAACTTCTAAGGATTAATATCTGTCTTTTTATTGAAAATTGTACTTTGTGTAAAAACAGAAGAGATTTAACTTTCATTTTATAAGCATCTGTATTTATCTGTGCTACATATAATAACATGTAATATGCCTCACCTCTTTATAAGTACTCAGAAGAGGTTTATATTGAGTTCTTACCTGTTTCTCAGCTCGTTCTGCTGCAGCTGATACTGTATCATGCCCTCTGTGGTCATCCTTGGTACACAGCATGCAGATACACTGCTGGTCAGTGCGACAGTAAACCTCCAGCCATTTCTCATGCTCAGAGCAGATCTGCTCCTGGAGGCGTCTGGAGGCTTTGACCAGCTTGTGCTTCTTAAAGGCAGGAGACTGATAATGAGGCTGGAGATGAGTTTCACAGTAAGAGGCCAGACACACCAGGCAGGATTTGAGGGCTTTGAGTTTTCTCCCAGTGCAGAAATCACACTCCACATCTCCAGGTCCAGCAGGAGAAGCAGTGTGGAGCTCCGTCTTCTTCAGTTTCTCCACCACTTCAGCCAGCATGGTGTTTTTACCCACAACAGGCCTCTGAGTGAAGGAGCGTCTGCACTGAGGGCAGCTATAAACCCCCTTCAGATCATCCTGATCCCAGCAGCCATTAATACACACCTTACAGAAACTGTGTCCACATGGAATGGTCACTGGATCCTTCAGTAGCTCCAGACAAACTGGACAGCTGAACTGATCCACTGAGAGACCGCCCTCTGCCATTTTACAGAAATTCTACAACAACAAAACACAAAGTCTGAACAGCAGCACAATCAGAGTGAACTTCCTACTTCCTGGTTCTTTCTGTGAGAGAAACGTGCTCAATACAGATCAGTTTCACTTTCACTTCTACTGAACTGGGAGTGGGAGGTGACAGAAAAAAGAGAGTATAAAGGGACGGGGGAAGTTCAGATATTTGTTGCCAAAAGTTTTGTACAGGTGTGCAGTGCCAGGCTGTGTTTCCATTGTTGTTTCCATTGTTGTTTCCATCATTGTTGGTCACAAAAAGGGCACAGCCTGCTAATGGATTTATGCCTAAATCGATACCTTCAGAAAAGATGTACATGGTACATGGGCAGGACTAACTTGCTCATGTGAGAGTCCAGCTGAAAGGAGGGTCAATCAGTGAGAGCACTGCAAATTGGAGAAAGTTGGCAGCAACATGCAATATTAGACAATATTGGAAAAGATTAATACAGCTCTTTCAGCTGAAATGGGGCTGGTGTTTTAAGTTACTAAGAACCATGTACATACATTCTTGTACAAGCAAGACCTTTAAAGCCGCTTTATTTGAAAAATCATAAATTTAGAGATGAACAAAAAAAACTGATGTAATGGGGAAGCCATGCAGACACAAACCTGACAACTGCAAATTTTAGGAGGTGGAGTAACACAAATTCAGAAAATATAGGACATAGAGCATGTCATGCATGCCAGGAAGGCAAGAGAGAAACATAAAGTTGACCAAAGACGTAGATGTCATGCCAAGGCACCTAATGATTCCCAGCACAAGACCACCTAGAGGAACAGGACGCAAGTGTCTCATTCATGATTCAGACTGTAACCAGGTAGACTTTGTAGAAATTGACCCAGACAGCAAGCATGTTCGGGCCAGATTACCTTGGCCGTCACAAAGTCCTCCTAGCAGTCGTATCAGCATTGCGGACTTGTGCCACATTTGGGCCAAGTAACTGTTAACAGCACTGGACACACCGCCGGTCAGCGGACTCAGAGCGCATTGGGGCTGGACCTTTAAAACAGACGCGCCTCATTTAAAAATTGTGCCTCATTTAAAATTTGCCCCTCCCCTTTTTCCCCCTCAGTCCTCTGCAGTCATCAGTTTACTTTGACTGTAAAACTCGCTGCTGCTTTTGAGGTAAGGTGTGTTTTGTATTTTAAATATTTGCACATTTATTAGAATTACGATCAGGTATCTTGGGTTTTATCGTTTAACTTTTAATATGTTATTCAGTTTGACAAGAAAATAAGCTGAGTGGTGCAGTCTCTAGAGGGGGAGGACGTCAGCGCTAGCTAACCTAGTTATGTTAGCTGAGGTAGTGAGTCAAAATGTCTAATTCCAACCTAAATTAACATTCGAGATTTCTCTTTAATTATGTTTAATAACGACACACTCTTAATCTTACATTATCCCCTCGCCCGGCTGTGTAACTAGCCAGCTTAGCTGGGTTGTACTGTGAGAGGCAGCTGTTAGCATTCATTGGAAAATGTGAAAATGTTCTAAGAGCAGCTTTAATATTTCTGCCTGTTTTAGGAGAAAAACAAGTCTAAAGAAAACAGAAAAGTGAATTTGAGTGACCAATGTAAGAAACATCCATTAGCTGGAATCTAAAGTTACCCTATATTGTGGTGTGGAGCTAGCCAGCTAATGTTAGCTAGCTAAGCTGTATTAGCCAGTGTAAGCAGTATCGTTAGTTTAACCATCTTATTTTTATCTGCTTTTTTATAGTGTCGGATTTTACTATTTTTACCTAAAGAAATGGGAGGTTAATGTTACTTTTAATTATTTTTTTTCTTGAAACTGCTGAAATAACATAAACCAGTAACACAGTCCTCGTATTTGGTTAAAAGTGTGTAAAATACCCCTCAGAAACAGAAACGGGTTCCCCCTCAGAAACAGAACCGGGTTCCCTTTGATTAATCTTTTATTAGACAAAGCTTCAGCTCACACACTGCTGCTCCCGCGGCCGCTTCGGACTCAGGGTCAGTCTCAAAATTACGAAAAGAAAGTGTTTCTGCTATCATTACTAGCATTATTGTCTTTGTATGTACATCTGCTGATTTGTTCAGAAGCATCAGCAGAGCTATTTACAGAGATACTAAAGCTACTACTACTAGTAATAATAATAATAATATTAGCTTCACTTGTTTCGTCTTGTCATTTTGAGACGGTCTCTGACTCTGAATCAGACAGGCGAGCACAGTGATGGCGTGAGTTGAACCTTTTGGCAAAAATAAAAGAATAGAAAAAAGACCAGGAAAAGAGCAGCGCGGTTCAGTACAGACTGGGTTTGTTGTGTTTATCTTTAATATGACCATGAAAGTGTAATTAATCCAATAACACAGAACGTAACTGCGAATGTCACACGAACTTTACCGTCCGATGTGGTGTGTGTAGCCTGATTGTGTGAAAGCTGAGACACGGCCTTGGTGGTCTGAGGTGGTCCTAAAACGGTCACAGTAACGCAGCCGGTGTTTTTAAACATACATGCAGCACCGAGCGCTTTAACTACCGCAGCTCAGTCATGTCGACGTGTCGGAATACTGTTTCACGCTGTGGTTTGCATTAAATAAACCAATAAAAGACCGTGTTTTACCGTCATTATGGGCCGTTACCGCGGTAGCTCGGTTACTCTTACCGGGCTCAGGCCAAGGCCCGATATATAAAACGGATGCGCCTAATTAAAAACATTCCCCTTTCTTTTTTCCTGCTCAGCGGTCTACAGTCATCCGTTGGTATTGGTCTGTAAAGTTTGCTGCTGACTTTGAGGTAAGTTAATCATTACTTTAGATATCTGCACATATGTGATCAGGTATCACAAATTATTACATTTGTTTAAATTATTACATTTATTTTTAAATATTTTATTCAATTTGACAATCAAATAAGCTTAATGGTAGAAGAGTACAGACAATTTTAGTTCTGTTTAAACAAATTACCGTTGGAGTCTTCTCTTTAAATATCTTTAAGTTCAAATAAATTTTGGCTCTCCGCCAGGGCCAGGCTCCTACACCTCTCCCCGCCAGAGCCAGCCAGGCTCCTACACCTCTCCCCGCCAGAGCCAGCCAGCCTCCTACACCTCTCCCCGCCAGAGCCAGCCAGGCTCCTACACCTCTCCCCGCCAGGGACATCCAGCCTCCTACACCTCTCCCTGCCAGAGCCAGCCAGCCTCCTACACCTCTCCCCGCCAGGGCCAGACAGCCTCCTACACCTCTCCCTGCCAGAGCCAGCCAGCCTCCTACACCTCTCCCCGCCAGAGCCAGCCAGCCTCCTACACCTCTCCCCGCCAGGGACATCCAGCCTCCTACACCTCTCCCTGCCAGAGCCAGCCAGCCTCCTACACCTCTCCCCGCCAGAGCCAGCCAGGCTCCTACACCTCTCCCCGCCAGAGCCAGCCAGCCTCCTACACCTCTCCCCGCCAGAGCCAGCCAGCCTCTTACACCTCTCCCCGCCAGAGCCAGCCAGGCTCCTACACCTCTCCCCGCCAGGGACATCCAGCCTCCTACACCTCTCCCTGCCAGAGCCAGCCAGCCTCCTACACCTCTCCCCGCCAGGGCCAGACAGCCTCCTACACCTCTCCTCGCCAGGGCCAGCCTCCTACATCTCTCCCCGCCAGGGCCAGCCTCCTACACCTCTCCGTCAGGGCCAGCCTCCTACACCTCTCCCTGCCAGGGCCAGCCTCCTACACCTCTCCGTCAGGGCCAGCCTCCTACACCTCTCCCCGCCAGGGACATCCAGCCTCCTACACCTCTCCCTGCCAGGGCCAGCCTCCTACACCTCTCCGTCAGGGCCAGCCTCCTACACCTCTCCCCGCCAGGGACATCCAGCCTCCTACACCTCTCCCTGCCAGGGCCAGCCTCCTACACCTCTCCCCACCAGGGTCAGCCTCCTACACCTCTCTGCCAGGGCCAGCCTCCTACACCTCATCGCCAGGGCCAGCCTCCTACACCTCTCCTCGCCAGGGTCAGCCTCCTACACCTCTCTGCCAGGGCCAGCCTCCTACACCTGTCTGCAAGGGTCAGCCTTCTACACCTCTCCGCCAGGGCAAGCCTCTTTCACGCCCCTTTTTTAGCCACTTTATCTAGACTGGCCTCTGTTGTTTTCCTCTGTAACCAACCTCTTTCACCACTTCTTTATATCCAACTTCCTCCATGTCTGCTATAGGGTGAACATTCTTCTTCTAAGGTTTCACCCACCCTTTGAAAGGTCATGACCCCAATAAAACTGTGGGCTGCAAATATTGGCTGATTTGGGCCAACCAATGACTTGGTCAGACTCTTAATTGAACAATAGTGCCAGTACTCCTCTCTCATTCTTATCATGTATTTTCAATGTTGTAATTGTAATGGCTATTACAATTTCAGTGTACATCAAAAAATCTAGATTAAATCTAGGAGAAATCGCTAGATTATTCAATTACTAAAATAATTGATAGTGACAGCCCTGTTTTAAATAAAGTCATTAATATGTTGGATAGACGAAAACAATTATAAAGATCGTTACCGTTCAGTTCACCGTTCAGCTGTCGACCGCAGCAGTGATGAACTGTAAGAACTTTAAGTGATTTGAATTCCAGAATACGGATTAGAGCCCAACCAATATGAAAACTGTGACTGATACCAGTAATGATTGTTTAGAGGCTGGAAATTATGTTAACACTTAACAATATTGGCTGGTATTATTTTATATTGTAGTATTTTATTTTATATTGTTTTATCCTCCAATTCATTTTAGTTGAACTGTGCTTCACTGATACAGTTGTCACTTCTCAATGGTCACACTTCTTAATTTGACATTGTAAAACTCAGCATGGTAGTATTTAGTATTCAGATTGCCAGTTACCCTTTATTATTGTGATGACGTGATGAAGGTATTTGGTTTTATTTTTCCCTTTTTGAATTTACTGTTTTTTGAAAACATTCATTATTAATGATTTGTAAAAAAAAAAATATGTGGGATATGGAGCTTTTCATGACTCTGGAACGGATCTGGTGCAGATGCAACAAGTCAGGGCCGGATCCGTTCCAGAGACAGCTGCTTATATCAACTTGAGCTTGGACCTCTTCTGAACTGGGTCCATGCCACATTTGGGCCAGATACGAAGATAATATTCAGACCTGCACCAATTCAGGGCCGGATGTAACGCTGTTCTTTGCTCATCTGGGCCGGTTTTTAATCTGTTTTGGCGCAGATCCGTAAAACAGATCAGTTCCGGTATTGGGCCATTGTGCAAAAAGACACCGGGCCAGCTTTGCTTTGCGGATCCGGACCGGATGCAGCGCTATATTTGGCCCTAATCAGGCGCAGTGTACATTTGTTGTCTGGGGAACTATTTGCTTAAGAGACAGGTAAATGCTTTCAACCATACTTTGTGTATGAGAAAGTAATTGCTGTCTGAGTAAAAATGGAAGTTGACACAGGTGCAGCTGTCTATCAAAATGGTTCTATGAATGCTGGTTTAGGTCCTAAAAATATCAAGACTAACTGAATGAAAAAGGGTAAATTCACAGCCTAGGTGAAGTGTAGTATAATGTAGTCAACAGCAGTGAAGCACCAGTACATACCTGGAAATGGGCAACTGGCCCATTGGAGAAAATACACATTCACTTAGCAAAGAACCATAAACAGATGTATTAGTAGTAATGGATAGGTATGCTAGATGGCCAGAGGTTCTTCACATGCATTCTTCTACAGCAGCTAAAACTGTTGAAGTACTGTGGAACATTTTTGCTTCTTGTGTTCTACTTAAAGAAGCAGTAACTGATAATGAACCTAAGTTTACCTCCAGAGAATTTGATACCTTTAAGGAATAAAATGGACTTAAAGGTACCAGGTTATCTGCCTTTAAACCTGCTAGAAAGGGGGTTGGCTGATTGGTTCAGAATCTAAAGAAATTTGTGTCAAAATGTAAAGCAGTTGGTGGTATGACCTTGGAGCACCGTGCTGCAGTGTTCTGGCACAACACCCCATACTAAAACTGGAAAGACCAGTTAAACTGTTTCTCCAGGACAAGTTTATACCTGACTGACACTGATTAAGACACTGATTAAGAGTTTGCGGAAAGAACACACTCTGAATACATACACAGGACAGAGAACCCTATTAAAATTTACAACCCCATTTCCAAAAATGTTGGGACACTGTGCAAAATGTTAAAAAAAAAAAAAAATTCATTGATGTGTAAATAATGTAAACCATATTTTAAAGTAAATTGTACAAAGACAACATATCAAATGTTGAAACTGAGAAAATATACTGTTTTTTTTTTTTTTTAATATTTGCCCATTTTGAATTTGATGCCAGCAACATGTTCCAAAAAAGTTGGGACGGGGGCATGTTTACCTCTGTGTTTCATCACCTCTTCTTTTAACTGCACTCTGTAAGTGTTTGGGAACTGAGGAGACCAATAGCTGTAGTTTTGAAATTGAAATGTTCTCCCATTTTTGCTTAACATAGGATTTCAGCTGCTCAGCAGTTCAGCTGCTCAACAGTTCAGGGTCTGTCATATTTTTCATTTAATAATGTGCCAAATGTTTTCAGTTGTGACAGGTCTGGACTGCAGGCAGGTCAGTTTAGCACCCGGACTCTTTTAATACAGAGCAATGCTGCTGTAATACATGCAGAATGTGTTTTGACATTGTCTCGCTGAAATAATCAAGGCCTTCTCTGAAAAAGACATTGTCTGGATGGCAGCATATGTTGCCAAAACATGTATATATCATTCAGCATTAATTAAAGAATTAAAATAGGCTTGTATTGAGTTCTTACCTGTTTCTCAGCTCGTTCTGCTGCAGCTGATACTGTATCATGCCCTCTGTGGTCATCCATGGTACACAGCATGCAGATACACTGCTGGTCAGTGCGACAGTAAACCTCCAGCAGTTTCTCATGCTCAGAGCAGATCTGCTCCTGCAGGCGTCTGGAGGCTTTGACCAGCTTGTGCTTCTTAAAGGCAGGAGACTGATAATGAGGCTGGAGGTGAGTTTCACAGTAAGAGGCCAGACATACCAGGCAGGATTTGAGACGTCACATTCCATCTCCAGGTCCAGCAGGAGAAGCAGTGTGGAGCTTCGTCTTCTTCAGTTTCTCCACCACTTCAGCCAGCATGGTGTTTTTACCTAAAATGGGCCTTGGAGTGAAGGAGTGTCTGCACTGAGGGCAGCTATAAACCCCCTTCAGATCCTCCTGATCCCAGCAACTATAGCATATATTACCATCATTGCTGTGATTTTCTACAAAACAATCCTAAAAAAACTACAAAAACTGTCTGTTATCAGGACTCACAAAGTAAAAAGAGATGGCCATGGACTCTGGACAGGAGGACAAGTTTAAAATAATGTTTAATGATTTATGTTTATTGACATAAAAGCTGCAAAGGTCATTGTTTTTCTGTTAATCACTGGGGAGAAGTCACACTATCATTTTATCACTATTTACCAAAACCTGTCATGACAAATCTGCCTTAGTGTTCTTACAACACAACCAGAGCACACTGCTACATAAAATAAGTAAGTAAATGTGCATGCATATACATTATACTATTTTTCCCCTTCAACACTATTAAACAAACTACTTATACTGTAATTAATGCATTATGAAGTGGATTGATTCAGACTGTGTTTAATGTGCTTTATAGCGACAAATTAAATGTTTATTTCATAAGAATTTAGAGAAAATTGTTAGTTTAACTAGCTACATTAATAAATATATATTGATCAACTCTGAAATAAACCATTAACCACTGATACTAGCAAACTTGAAAAGCATTGCTAACTTGGTAAATTTAAAACAACAGTACTAACTATAGATTAGCCACTAAAGTACAGTTACATTGACTATAAGCTAGCAAGAACCAAGCTAAGTACCCAGACACCCATGCATGTCCAATAGGTGTTGACATCAACTGAGGATCAGAAAGCAGGTTGATTAGCTCAGCTCCTTCTTTTAAATTTCTTTTGGAATGAAGACAGGCACTCATTGATGAGGTCATAGACTTTAAGAGATTTTGATTCACTTATGTGTTTTGTAGGGTAATGTAGTTCCTGTTTTTCAAGGTTGTTTTCGTCCCGCTACCTCACACACTCACTCAGGTTTGTTGACGGTGGAGCGGAGGGGTGCTGACATCTCAGGGAACTTCATGTCTCTGTTACCTTTCTGGTTTCTCCTTTTTAGTGAGGCTGTAACAGCTCAACCTGCCCGAGTCTGTGTTGCACTCTGTCACACTGTATACTGTAATCAGTCTCTCTTAACAGAACTAACTTCAAAACTCTTTCAAGAAACCAAGAGATAAACTAGTGTGATCATGCAACTAGCATTCATTGTACAGTGTGTTTTTCAGCTAGCCAAGAGACACACCGGCGCCATCTTGGCCTTGAAAGCCAGAATTCACTGACTTAAACTTGAAGAATAACTGTTTCAAGAAAGTGAAAATAAAAAAAATCAGAGAAAATCCAAGAGGATCAGGAAACCAGAGAGATAAACTTGTGGGTAGAGATGGTAGAAACAAGCAAGACATTCTTGAAAGTTTTCATTCTTTTAGAATTCTTGTGTTCAAAGCAAAGGTTTTAAAAAGGTTCAAAACACACATATATGAATGTATAGTAAAATATACATATATAAACATTACAGATAGTGTTAGCCTACATGATGTCAGATCACACGTGAAATCCAGATTTCAGAACTGACTGATTTATTTTTCTATAATAAATCAGTCCTATAGTTCTATATTAATGTTTCAAATCTAAGTCGAGCTTAAGTTGGTGTTTCAAAACATTGCCTTCAAATACAAATGTCACATGATCACAAACAAAGCTTCAGAATGTGAATGACTCACAGAACGCTGAAGCTTCGTCCTGTGATTAACGCATTGGCTGAGTCCAGATTCCCGAAGGGACCATCCACAAACTCCCAGATTGTTTAAATGTAATGTAACAGGTTTTTGTGTGCAGAGAGCCAAATAATATTCACAAGCCAGCAACAGTTACCTGTGAATGTATTTTTTTCTAAAGCTGTGAAGATGACGAGCAATAAATCAAGTTGTCTTAGGCCCAGCAAAGCCTTTTCTTTTAAAAATTCTGAAAAATAAAGATGTGGCTGCCCTTTCTGATTCCCAAGTCAACTTCCAGTGACATAAGCACAATCGCAGTGTTTAACTTTTCAACTGCACTTTTACAATTAAGAGCCCCCCCTCAACATATAGCATAACTACTGATAATCAAAATAATTATATAATAAAGTTATATGATATGTAAAATCACAATAATCAGTCTAACAATTGTTACTTTAATAGATGAAGTAGCTTAATAATTGAATATCTTTTCCTTTATTGTTGCAATCTTGAAAAAAACAGTCTTTCTTTCCATACATTTTTTCAATACATTTTTATTTAATCATTTTTTACAATGGATGAACAAATAAAATGAAAAAAAAAACATTACACAATACAGTCAGAATGACAGATTTAAGGATGGGCTAGTAGATGTCCCTAGACATACGGGTGTCAAACGTTTAAAAACATCAAACCATTTTTCAGCAAAACTGCTTTGAACACTTCACTGTTTTATGAGGCTTCATTTTGTCCATCACCACCTCAATCATTTCGAATGATTCAGTATGAGCATCACTTCTCAGGGGTCTTTCGTCAAACTGCCAGCGTAGACTTCAGACTTGCACATGGCAAGGGGAACTCAAGACAGCACAGAGCATACAAAGGGCTGCCTTTATGTAGAGGCAGACACGGGTGTGATTGGTTGCCACTAATTACTGTAAGGCAGCTCTTTGCCTCCCCCTAGTGGTGGCAGTGGGTTTGTTACTGACTTGATCTGAAGTGGCTGAAGTTCACTATTTCCAATTTCAGTCTGAACTCAGCAGTTTGTTCTACACTTCAGTCCAAATTACTTTTAGAACAAGACACAGTACAGGACAGCATCAACAGAGAACAGTTACATATATCAGTCTAAAGACACAATAATTAAAGGAACTTGTTTCTTTCTAATGGATGAAAATAAATTGGAAAATGGTCATGTAGGAACGAATTACGACTATTCATATCCTTAAAATAACAAAAGCATAAAGTGGATCTCAGAAGAAAATAAATACAAGAAAAATGTGGAACATCTACATAATTTCTAGATTATTTCCATTGTAATGATAGTTTGGTGTGTTGGAAGGTAATCAGATCCACATTTTTCAATATTACCTATGGATTAAGCTGCACAGTTTAACTTTAGATCCAGAACAAACAGAAAAGCCAGGGTAGATGTTGTCAGTGAATGTGGTGTGGACTCTATGGAGGAGGGTCATTGTTTTTAAGATGCTGTAGAAGGACAGAGTTCCTGCACTGTAATTCACATACACTCCGATTCGATAAGTGCTGGGCACTGCGGAGATTTCAGTCTCTTTCTTATTGTGCCAGAATGAGAATCTGAAGGCAGAGCACATTAATTTCCAGGACTGATTATTATGTCCAAACATACACTCAGTATGACCCTTCCTGCTGATGTTTTTATATGACACTGCAATATCAACCCCCCCCATTCCCACTCCACTCAACCTCCCAGTAACAGCGTCCACTCACACTCTCTCTACACAGAACCTGGACAAAATGTTCAAATCTGTCTGGATGGTCAGGATACGGCTGGACCGTGTCACTGTAGGTCACCACTCTGTTCCCCTCAGACAGACGGAGACATTCATTCACTGTGTTTGGATCCAGTGTGAGCTCACAGGAATCTGAGGACAATAAACACAACATTCAGTTCAATAAAATTCATTTCTCAACACTAAAATGTATGTATCACTGTCTACAGCAGACATTGTCCCAAATCATCATTAATCCAGAAACGTGGCTTTTCCAGAAATCAGCTCCCCAATGAGCATCACTGAGTGAGACAGTATCCAGTATCTTCAGAGAAATCTGGATTGAGTTTACAGACAACCTTCTCTCAGGTTTTATAGCTACCGCCACAAAAACAGAAATATCTGATCAGTCATATGACCCATATGAGTGTGAATCAGACTTACAGTGTAGAAAATCCTTTCTCCCTCGGGGTTCAGAAGGAATAATCTGGATTTCTTTCACTGTTGGAACAGTTAAACATAATTACTTCAATGGCTTAAAGCACTGAGATGTACATTTACTTCAAACTGTTACAGTGCAGAGAAAATCTGAGTCAAAACAAGATAAACATGTTTACAATGAATTAATGAAAAAACAGAGAAAGAATGTGTATAAATAGTGATATCCTCTCTCTCTTTTTCCTGCTACTATCTTGGACTACAATATACAAAAACAATATATTGCACTTGTACAAACACAGTCTTCAGCTGCTTCAGCGTCTTGATACAATGGGTATTTTTAGAATTTATTTATATATGTTAGTAAAGCTTAAGTTTAATTCACCCTGAAATGATGTGTCTCTAATCTCCTCTTCACAGAATTTTTCTACTATACTCCTCAGCTGAGACACAGACTTTATGACCTTCTCAAAAGAGTGGACAGGACGGGCAGTGACGGAGGGAAAGACTGCAGATACAGGAGGAGCCGAGAGAGACTGGAAACTCTACACAGAGACACAGAGAGAGATTACATTTATGGCATTTGGCAGACGCTCTTATCCAGAGCGATGTACAATTTTATCATTTTACACAGGTAGGCAAAGGTAGTGTTAGGAGCTTTGCCCAAGGACTCTTATTGGGATAGTGTAGGGTGCTTACCCAGGAGGGTATGGAACCCCAGTCTACAGCATAGAAAGCAGAGGTGTTACCCACTACACTACACCAACCACTACACACAGAGCAGTGAGAGATCATAGAATATCAGTAAAACTCTAAGCTATGTAAGAAATCACACATACAAGCTCTTAAACCAACAGATCATCAAACTCTTTCTTTCTTGAATCAAAGGCATCTCGTGCTGAAACTAACACTGCTGTTACCTGGAGGAAATGAAGATGGTCCTCAGTGAGTGAGAGCTGCTCCAGCTCAGTGTTTCTCCTCCTCAGCTCAGCAATCTCCTGCTCCAGTCTCTCCAGGACTCCTTCAGCTCCTCTCACTGCAGCCTCCTCCTGAGCTCTGATCAGCTCTGATAGCTCAGAGCGTTTTCTCTCAATGCAGCAGATCAGCTCAGTGAAGATCCTCTCAGTGTCCTTCAGTGCTGCCTGAGCAGAGCTCTGATACAGCACAGAGAGAGGCACCCTTTAATACAGCAACATTAACACTAACATCAACATGCAAAATGTTCAAACACAAACTGCTTCGTAATGAGACAAA